CCCCCCCTTAACATCTCTCTTTTTATTGCACCCACACGATTACCCATCAACGTTGGCCACCTCTTTGATCACTATCGTCGACGTCAATATCGCTCGATACTGTTTGACATCACTCATTGCCCCTTAAATTTTTTTAAAATGAGATGATAAATACTAAAAACGAGATTGTAAATAATAATCTCCAAAATAAAAAGTTCAATAAGAGGATTCATAAATTTAATCAGGTTAAAACGATGGCATGTGGATGATCCAACCTCACATCGAATACTCTCTTAGCTCAACATGTTAATCAAACGTCATGTCCATATTCCATATCAATCTAATGCCGATACCAAGAACCTATCAAGCGTCTAACGTTCTCATATCTTGATAATAACTTACTCTCTTCCATTACCATTACCAAGAACCTATTATAAAACCCCTAGGTGCAAATTTCTTTTAGGACCTTTGGAACAAGTCTAACACACAACACTCCTACTTTTCAAATCCTCCAATTCACAAGTTAAGGAGAGAAACATTTGTTGGTCATATGCATTGCAACATGATCGGATAATGTTGATATGGACGGATTATGTTACAAATCATCCAAGGCTTTTATTGGGAGCAAACGATTAATAATAGAGCTTTTGTCTACAAAGTAATTATTGGCAGAAAAATCATTAAGGTAGCTTGAAGACCAACAGATGCACCATCAAAAGAAAATCTTAAACAGATTCACTCTGATAGTACCAATAGATTTACACTTCCCCATCTCGCTAGTGTCGATAAAATGATAATCATAAATTCCAATTCCATAACAGTTCTAAGAACAACTTCAGTCACCATGCGTTCAGGTGTCAAATGATCATCACACCCAATTCAAAAATGAATAAATAGAATATAATTAACTTCACCAGTACACTGAGTTAATACAGTGCAATTTGCCTAAAGCTATGCAGTAATGAAATATATTAATAGACACTTGACTTGTAATACTAAAGATTGAATGAATTCCATGTTCCCATATTAGTTACTACTGCATGGACTGAAGCTTTTTCATGATGAGCATGCTCATGTCCATGAACCGCCGAGCACAATTGCCAAGGCAAGCTGAATCTTTGGAGCTGAACTTGCTGCCAGGAGTCCCACTGATGCATTTATCCCAACATTGGTCTGTAAGTTTCCCGACCATCTGACCGATCATGGCCTTTTGACCCTCTTGCTACAGTAAACCAAATCAAGATGAAACGGGTGAACCATGGAAATTGCTTTTAAAATTACTTACCAATTCATAAAAAATAAATGCAAATTCATACGTTAATTTCCCTTATTGTCTGGTAGGTAATTTAGCTAACGTGTGTATCAGAAAAAGCAGATCATACCACGATCACATTACAAACATATTCACAATATTCAATAAACATCAAGAAGCACATGGGGCAAAATTTAAATTATTGTCAAAAAAGGGCATAAAATATTACTATAGATACCAGAAAATCTCAAAACAATAGAAAAAAGCATAATTAAATATCGCATCAATATGAAGAGTAAATTGTTCAATTATTGTATGCTATTTAATATTTTAATCAAACAAATGAAATTTTGACCTAATAAACAGATGGTGAAGCAATGTCATCAAACTGCATGAGCAATAAGAAAGGATCAAAAAACACAAATGGAGACCTAAAATTTATGATAATCAGGTAAATGTTTATAACCCACCATAACCTGAATTATCAAATGTTGTGAAAGCTTCTAGATTTGAAGTTGAAGGAGTTTCCAAACATGAAATGGCTCACAATTTATTCACTCTCATTCATAAAAACCAAAAAAGGTCTATAATATCAGAATTTATATTTAAATACAAGTCCCTATTCCAGTATTGTCTGAACATGCATATTGGTGAATTGCAACTAAAGCGGAGCCAAATTTGAACTTAACCTGAACCAGAATTGTGAAACAAAAAAAAAAAATCAACTTTAATTTGAATCTAACAAATATACAGAGAAACAACAAGACTCAAACAGATCAGAAGCACTAATCAATCGTCTAAATTTAAAACGTTAGAAGAAGTATTCAGGGAATCGAAATTACATGCAATTCAAAAAAATCCTGAATTTGCGCCTCATACAGTCCACATACACAACCCCACAATAAGCCCCAAAAAATTGTTTTTCTTTTCTTTTTCCAACTATCCTTCCTTGGTCCACGTGTAAAACACCTTTCTCGAACTACGTTGCATCGCATATTTCCATTGCAAAGTCTAGCATCTCACATCATATGCTCTCAAACCAGATAAAAGGAAAATAAATAAATAAATAAATCTTAACAAAGTCAAAATATACACCTCGTTACAGCCAAATAGCCAGTAAAAAAAATTATTCATGTGAGCATGATGTCAGAGAGCGACAAAAACGAAAAAGAAACAAATATAAGAGAGCGAAGAGCAGATGTTTCAAACCTTGAGAAACGCTTGCAAATCCGACGAATTATCTATCGTCGCCTCGGCCAAGAACCCGAAACGAAAACAGACAAAGAACGAAAAGAGCGGAAACCCTCGCGGGATCTCAACGAGCGGAATCCAAAACCCCTTAAATCCTAACGTGTTGGCCGCTGCAAAAAGAGGAGATTTATGGTTGGTGGGAACGGGTTGGGCCGTACGAACAACCTAACTCGGCCGAACCGACACTTGAATTAACCGACGCTCGCTTGAGCCAGGCCCGGTTCATTAACATAGTATCTCTAAAGCACGTTGTGCGAGAAGTGAGAAATAAAGAACTATTGTGACTAATTTCTAGCTCCAAAAAATCTGAAACATTAACTAATATGTCCCTCCAATATATTCATGTAAGATTGTAAGTTATAGATAATATAGTAGATAGGTAGGATGTTCGTTAGTGTCCAAGTTAGTAATATATAGGGACAACATATACATATAATATGAATAAAACAGTGGAAAGAAGTCGCCTACATCTTAAGAATGGAAGTGGAAATGAATTCATTATGCTAACAATTTGGCTTGAGAAAACCCAACCGAGACACTCCATCTTAAAATAATGTGGACAAAGCTACACCAAAACCGCACTCAGTCGCATTTTGGATTATGTATTATTTTTCAGGTCCAAAATGTCCCCTTCGCCTATCTCATGCGGAGACGTATGTAATAATCCTAAATATGAAGGTCAATCAAATCATCTCACAACCGGTGGCGCATACGCTTCGCAAGCGTAAGCATGACATCGTATAGTTATCCGTGCTGCAATGACTAATTGGCCCTTCACGATGCCACGGATAGGCAAACCAAAGGGTTAGGGCATTTCCGGTATACTCAAAATAATTACTCCTCCCGCCACTCCAACGTCAATTGCCAGCAGGAAAGTAATCCAAGAGTGACGAGGATCATCAACACAATTTTCTCGTGAAGCATCACGTAATTTCTCTAACAGAGAATAGCAATGCCTGTTGGGGAGGTTAATTCAGCTCAATCATGTCGAGTCACACAACGAGAAACCCCTTTTGTTCTGCATATCCATTGGGTTAGACACCAAGGACCCACTGCCAACTCATACCAACGTCGATGTGCCTGTGCAAGTAATAGATTAGCTTACCAGTGTGTCCGACTCTCGAGTGTTCGATATTAGTTTTTTGTGCGGTTGCTTATCGTGATGGAATTACTCGCACCGCAGGAGTCTGCTCAATAATTTCGAAGCATAAGTCTCCCAATCCCTATCGCCGCACATTGTTTTCCTTCTCATTACATTGCATCAGACTGCTCGAGTTTTCTGCTTCACGTTACTGTGGTCGTCGGCTTCTTTCCGCAACCTTTTTCTATAAAGAACTCTCCCTTTTATCTCCTCCCTTCATCACCACTACTCCTCCTCCTTGTCCTTCGATCCTTCTCTTCTTCCATCCTCTGAACTGAAGGATAAATAAAGCAGCATAACATGGGACTGTGATCTCGAGAAGTCGGATCATAACACACTCAAATGGATCACAAGCCGAGTCCTGTAAGGTGTGGAGCTTTGAGGCTGCCCCCCGGGTTTAGGTTCCACCCCAGCGATGAAGAGCTAGTTGTTCAGTACCTCAAGAGGAAGGTCTTCTCCTGCCCATTGCCAGCTTTCTTCATTCCCGATATCGATCTCAGGAAGCACGATCCGTGGAACTTACCTGGTTAGTATGATACTATGTGCATATTTGATGATACAAATTACTATCACAAGTCATTTCGGAGTCGTCTTCGATTCTACCGCTCAGTCCAAATGATGGCTCCTCCAAATACTCGTGCAGGTGCGTGCCAAGGAGAGAGGTACTTCTTCAACCTTAGAAAGTCCAGGTATCCTAATGGCAAGCGATCGAACCGGGCGGCGAGCTCCGGTTACTGGAAGGCCACAGGGAAGGACAAGCAGATCGTAGCTTCCGGGTGCAACCAGGTGGTGGGGATCAAAAAGGTTTTGATCTTTTACAGAGGAAAACTTCCTGCTGGTTCTCGAACTGATTGGATTATGCATGAGTATAGCCTTGCCGGCTCTGATAACCCAGCCTTGATCTTTCCGCAAAGGAAGAACTCAACTCATGTGAGCTTCTAATGCCAACGTTTGCCTTTTTAGTAATCTTCACTTAAGATTATGCAAGTGCGTGTGCGATCCTAGTCGTTGTAAGTTCGAAATTAGCATTGATCTTATTCCGACGTCGGAGTGAAACCATCATCTTCTATCTTTCTACCAAGTAACAGGAGAACAGAGAAGAAAAACTACGTCAGACAGAGATAAATGGAACTGTTTGCTGAATTCTTCAAATATGTTGTCTATCATGCAGGGTATGATGGTTCCAAACCAAGATTGGGTGCTCTGTCGCATTTTTAAGAAGAGAAGAACCACCAACATGGTCGATGAGATTGAACAAGACCGCGACGAGGGCAAGATTAGAAGCAGTGCCGCTGGTTTCATTGATTTCATGCAGCAGAGAGAGAGTGATCAGACACCATCCTCATCCTCTTCGCCTTAGAGGAGCTGTGTCGCTGAGCTCTTCGAAGAAAGCATGAGTTCATCTCCCTGAGGAATAGAGGCCAATTATATCAGTTGTTTCGCGTTGCTGTATCAAAGTTTAGTCTGTATGTTCTTTCCCTGATCGGAAACCTAGTGAGAATACACTAAGAGCGCTTAACTCTAGGATTTGTAGTCTCTGCATCTTCTCTCTAAAGTTTCCTGCTTGTAAACACATGGTTCAATAATTAATCCGACCTTTATCCTTACTTCCTACCTCTGATATGGATACGCTTGACAAACATCATCTTCACCAAGAATATTTTGAGCCAGATTTTGCCTTGGCAACAGAGAAGAGCATTTGTTTGACCTCTGATATGGATGCGGCCATGCATTCTTAAGCTGCGGTTCTTAGTTGATCAAGGATGGCATACCCTTGTCCATGCTTTATGCAAACACAAAGCTTTCTGTCATCGGGACTCTTTACCACATAGTCCAAAGAATATTTCATTAAACTGCAACTTCATAAGCAATTAATGAACAAGCATTTCGAGGGCATCTCCAAGAACAATGTCCGTCTATGCACAAACGCAAACCATCCCATCTTCAAGTGATATCTACGTCTTTGAATCAAGCATTTGAGGACCATTAGTGGTGATGTGCGATGTGTCCATCTTGATTCCGCAAAGACCGTCTTCCCCGGACCACTTGCAATTAACTTTCTCCTACTCCACAGCTACTTGTAATCATCCAGAGTTTTGGAGGTGTCCATGACGAAGACATGGCCCAGAAATGGACAATCATTTGGACGGTATTAACCGACGAGCTAAAGCTGATCCCACAGATTCTGACATTACCTCCACCTTAGCAACCACTCTTCTACGGTAGGATTATACTTCTTTCCAGCATTAAATTCAAGTTTTCATTCTTCCAGATGAGATTTTTCTCGTCGCATCTCACTATTGACATCATCCTTATAAACAATATATATTCAATATGTACACGGAGGGTAGGTTAGCAACTCTTGGAAGCGATCAAGCTCATGAAGCTTCCAACTACAGGTTGTGTCCACCGCCAGTTAATACGAGACAAGGATTATTCTTGTGGAGCACACGATATAAATGATTCCAGGAAGTATCGCATTATCGACGGTGGGGGATAAAAGTTCCAAATCTGCAAAAGGTGGAAGCTCATAATTTAGTCACGAGTCTAATCCAGCTCATAATTTGGATCTAGCATGACACAGAGTACAACCTTAAGACATAATGAGAGTGAAATATGTGATTGTAATGAACATTCCACGCAGTTTGGTTTAATGATTTAGCTTTATTAATTATGGCGGGTACTATAAAAATACTCGTTACGTTATAATATCGTTCCCGGCCGATTACAACTCGGCATGTCTACAATCGTACTCACCACTTCAAATCTGCTTTTAGCCCAAATCAATATAATTAAATTGTGATTGTGAAGTGGTTGGGAAACCACCATTTGGAACTTAGCACAGCAAAGAAGGAGACATAATATATATATGTATATGTATATATAATTAGCCTGATCACATAAAGCTTGGCTTAGTAAAACATGTAGAGATCTCTAAAATAACATGCGGACATAACTGCTTCCCAATTGTTCTTCTGCCCGACAAAGTTTGTCGTGAGTGACGTTTTGGTATCGTCATCCAACGTAAAACCTTATCGGTGACGTAACCCATCGAGTCACCAATAAACTTGGCAATATTTCTCATGAAAACAGTTGAAAAAGTTATTAGATTATTTTCAGGAATCAGATAACGGTGTAATCTTGGATACAATGACGGTTGAGGCCATGCCATTCTCTCCCTTCGATCAATACGTATCGAAGCGTGGCGCGTCCAGCTCCTCGTAGGGCGAAGCGGCATCGGAGTCCCACTGCATCCGCCGCGGCGGCGGATGACTGTCCGCCACCTTCCACACCTTGACGGACTTGTCTAAGCTCCCGCTGTACACCACCCACATTCCCGCCCCGCCGTCGTCAGCGTCCGGCTCCACGGCCAGGCACTTGACCGGCCCCGTGTGCCCCGTCAGCACCGAGAGGCACACGTGTCCCCCTTCCCCCTCCCGCCGCCACACGCATATCGTCTTGTCCGCGGACCCACTGAACACCAGGCTCCGCGCCACCGCCAGGCACAGCACCGCCACCTTGTGCCCCCGGAGCACCCCGCCGCACCTGCCTGCTCCATTGACCCCTCTCCGGTCCCACCAGCTGACCCCGCCGTCGGAGGACCCCCCGTATACCACCCCCGCCGTCGCGTTTACCACCAGCGCCGTCACCGCCATGTCCTGCCGCACGAGCGTCAGCGCATGCTCGTGCCTCGTCAGGCCGCCTGGCTTCTTCCATCCTTTCTTCTTGTCCGGCTTGGGCACCTCCTCCTTCCTCCACACCTTCACCGTGCCGTCGGCCGAGCCGGTGAAGACCAGCCCGTCGAACCCCACCGCCACCGCGTTGACGGCGTCGTCGTGGGCGTTCACCGACTCGATGCACCGCAGGTCCTCCACGCGCCACACCTTCAGCGTCCGGTCCCACGACCCCGAGTACAACAAGCTCTGGTCCTCGCTCAAGCAGAGGCAAGACACGGCGTCGATGTGTCGGATCCAGACAGCGGAGCGGCGGTGGCGCCACCGGGCCTCGACGTAGTTGCTTGGGTTCATGGAGCTCTTCAGCAGGTCCTTGAGCCGCGGGAGCGTGCCGATATGCTTGTGGACGCGCGGATTCTTGGGGGAGACCTTCCAGACCCTGACCTTGCCGTCCTGGTGGCCTGTGAACACGCGGTGGTCGGCGGAGATGATGATGGCCTTCACGAGGCCGCTTGCCGATTTGAAACCAGAGAATTCCTTCTGCCTCTTCCACACTCGGATGTTCTTGCTGTCTGATCCGGTGTACAGGAGGTCGCCAGTGGCGGCGAGGGAGTAGATGTGGCCTTCCTCGCGGACGAGGGAGCCGACGAGGCCGGTGCCGGAGTTGAAGAGGTCGGTGGGAGTGGTGGCCATGGGAGCAGGAGGGCCGCCAGAGGAATCGAAGAAGAGGTTGGTGGCAGGTTCGTGGTTCCAGGGCGACAAGCGGAAAGGGGAACTGTCGGCGGAGGAGGTTTGTGTGAGGGTGGTGGAGGAGCTGTGGTCGGAATAGTAGCCGGGGCTGGCGGCGGAGCCGTTGCTGTGGCGGGTGGGAAACTCTTCCTCACTGGTGGACCTGACGAGGGGCTCGGAGTGCATGAGCGCTGAGAACTTCGAGGGCCGGGGTAGGCCACCGCCAGCTTCTTCGAAAAGATCCCGGCCTCTGTTGCCGCCACCACCACCTCCTCTTCTTGATCCGTCTTTCATATATGCAAATGGTCGCAGAAGGGATTCAAAGTGAGAGAGAGAGAGAGAGAGAGAGAGAGAGAGAGAGAGAGAGGAGG